CCTCTCACCTTGGCCTCCCAAAGTGCTGGGATTACAGATTTAAGCCAATGTGCCCAGCCTATACATTCTTTTTATCTTCATTTGACAAATAGGAAACCAGTTAAGATTATGATTTGAATGATATTATATAAACAGACTTTTAGTCAATCCTATAAAAAGAAACTTCTTTGCATGTTTCATCAGTTAGGAACTTGCTGACCACTGCCTTCATTGTAGAAGTGTGGCCTTGTGCACTGACCTTTCTGATAGCTTTATTAGACTGCCATTGCTTTCTTGCCCCTTATCTTTCCTTCCACCAACTTTCAAAGAAATGTATTGGAAGTAACTTGGGGGATATGAGATGTAAGCGTATCATCTTGATCATGAATGGAATTACTAAAGAAACAGAATATACTAAACATGTACTTTAATTGATTTTGCGTATGGAAAATTAACTTTCTCTATATAAGAAGCTAATCATGCACTCTGGCACACAAAGCCTAGTTAATAACAAAAATCAGCTCTCTTTTTTTTTCCACAACAAGGGTTACCACCAACATAACTTGGATTGGTTACCTTTTTTTTTTTATTTTGAGTCGGAGCCTTAATCTGTCACCAGGCTGAAGTGCAGTAGCGTACTCACAACCACTGCGACCTTGACCTGCTAGGCTCAGGTGATCCTTCCACCTCAGCCTTCCAAGTAGCTAAAACCACAGATGTGCACTGCCATGCCTGGCTAATTTTTTATTTTTTATCGTAGAGATAAGTTCTCACCAAGTTGCCCAGACTGGTCTCGAACCCTTGGGCTCAGGCAATCCTCTCACCTCTACCTTCCAAAGTGCTGGGATTACAGGCGTGAGCTACCGTGTCTGACCTGGATTGGTTATCTTACTGTTAATAATATTGAGGGGGGTGAGGCATTGCTTGAATTGTTTCAAAATATGTTTAGAACTGTGTGTATGTACACATGTATACAGATGAACACCGCTGGACAAAACATTTGTTAAGTACAAAGATACAAATGTAAAAGAATGGGAAAGTTAAATGTGAACTTTCAATAAGCAGAGCACAGAATTCTTAATTTTATACCTCAAATAAAAGACTGCAAAAATCAACACAAATAATTTACCCTAAATTTAATCTGAAAAAAAAAATCTATCCCTAAAAAAGGTAATAAATGAGTTACAAATATCCCTCTCCCCCCATGTTAAAGATTAGGGAGGCTAGTAGTCTAACAAAACACATTTTTTTCTAGATTTAGAAACCTTACATCTACCACTCCAGCCTTCCAAATATTTCATAAGCATAGAAAGTCCAAAATATACCTCCAAAAGGAATAGCATATGGCAATTATTAAGCAAAAACTGTTCACATAATTATTCAAGACCAAATCAAGAACAACTCCATGACAAATATGTGGGTTAGTTAAATTCTTGACTTAAAGTATTAATAAATTCTTAAGAAAGTAATCCTAAAGTTTCTATAAAAGAGTATAGTCCAAAACAAATCTTTGAATAAAAAATAACTAGGCTAGGGGTAGGGACTAACACCTGAAAACCCAGTACTTTGGAAGGCTGAGGAGGAGGATTGCTAGAGCCCAGGAGCTAGAAAACATAACCAGATCTTGTCTCTACCAAAAAAAAAATTAAGTAAGTAAATAGGTCAGGTGTGATGGTAAGTACCTGTGTCCTACTCAGCTACTTGGGAGGCTGAGAAAGAAGGACTGCCTGAGGCCAGAAGGTCAAGGCTGAAGTGAGCCCTGATCGTGCCACTGTACACCAGCCTGGGTGACAGAGTAAGACCTGACTGAAAAAACAAAAACAAGAACAATCCAACCAAAAAAACCCACAACTAATATTTTTTAAAAGCAGAAAGAGAGCAAAAAAAGTAGAATTATTTATAAAATAAATGGTCAAGAGCTCTTTGAGCTAATCTCTGCTTGAAACCACCCGAGGTGATGTCTAATGCCTGCAAGTCTCTCTCTAGTTTGATGGAATTATCTTTTATTTCAGATAGCAGAAAATCATAACGTTTCCTCACAGTATGAAAGAGGCTATGGTATCACTTCATTTTAAAATGACCTTTTTACTCATCAGATTGTATACATTAAATATGTGTATTTTTTTATCAATGGATGAAATGCATTTTTAAAAACAAAATAAACTTGTCCATTTCCTTAAATCACTTTAAATATTACTGTGGGCTGGGCATGGTGGTGTGTAATCACAGCACTTTGGGAGGCCAAGGCAGGAAGACTGCTTGAGGCCAGAAGTTTGAGACCAGCTTGGGCAACACAGCAACACCTCATCTCTACAAAGAATTTAAAAAATTACCAGGCATGATAGTGTATGCCTGTAGTTCCAGCTTCTTGGGAGGCCGAAAAATCACCTAAGCCCAGAAGGTCGAGGCTGTGGCAAGCCATGATCATGCCACAGCACTCTAAACATGGGTGACAGAGTGAGATTTCTACTCAAAAACATGAAAACAAATAAACAAACATTACTATGCTGAAGCAAGATAGCAGACATGCTATATTCATGACAGCCAATTTTCAGAATGAGAGAGCAAAGTAGAGAATATGTTATTATTGTATTAGAATAGAGTAACGGTTTATTTAACATTCTCAATAGGAAATCTACCTTATATGGTACATATAACCAAATTTATGAGTAAAAATAATAGTTGCTATTTACAATGACAACCTTTAGACAGTACCAAAGAATGGTGAGATGTCTAGTAGTACGTTAGAACACATAATCCTGTATTACATCAAAAGGTAGCTCCATATGTACTAGACTATTTTTAATAAACCACTCTATTCCCTTATATGCCTAAAACAGCTGACTTTATTTTACATTATTTTAAGTGAAAATATACACAAAACTATTTTTCAGTTTTATCTACTTCCAATCCCCAATTTCTATTATTTAAATTTCTTCTGTACAAAGTATTTTGACTGTATGCTCTTGCCAGTCACCTTAAATGGAGGTATCCTGGACTCCAAAGGTGGAATCAATATTCTTATACATACATCAAATTCTTAATAAACATTTGAATAAACAATGAATATGGCGTTCAATGGGTTAACATAAAATGAATTCTCAAATTCTCTTTTTTTCTTCCTCCCAAATCTTTACGGTCACCATGCTATATGGAAGAAGAGGTTAATAGACTATATTCTTTTTCGTTTATTACAGTATTTCCTTGGAAAAGAATAGGTTTTTCAATAAATGTTTAAGTAATACATGACATTTTCCTGTAGTACAAACAACTGGGCCATGTTGTGACAGTGATCTTTGGAATGTTCTTGTGCTTACTGCCAAGAGCAACACAAAATACATGGTAGGATATGCAATAATCCAAGTTAATCACTTGTTGATAAGCATGACCTGGGACAAAGAGTGTGTGGAAAAGAGGCTAAAATGCAATCTTTTATTATTTCAATCACAAATGCAATAGAATTTTAGTAGATTTTCTCTGATGCAATCAGAATACTGGCACACTGCCATCACTGAGTGTACTGATTATAGGCATGGCAATTTTTTGTTGTTTAAAAAAGTGCTATTACCAAAAATGACTGGGAAAAATGTTAATCCTCCCAATTTCTTAGCTAATTACCACTTGACGATAATCAGTGGAGCTTAAACTCTTTTTTATAGATGTAGGAGTTGCTATCATTGTCAAACATGATGTCTGGTACATAATAGGGAATAAATAAAGTTTTTAAATGAATGAAAAAACGAGGCCTTTAAAAGAGACTTCTTTACTTATAAAAAAGTGAAGCTACAATTTTTGGTTTATAGCTTTTAAAGTCTTTAGGATATAGAAAGACTGATAGACTATTTTCTCTAAAAATAGAATTCTGTAATCATAAGGCTAAACTAAAATATTCCTGTTAAAGATAACATTTTAGAATAACTTTCTGTAGTAGATTAAAAGTGGCTACAAATTCCTTCCTACTGAGAGGTGGAGTCTAATTTCTTTTCTCTGGGTTGGCTTTACTCACTTGTGTCATCAGAAGAAGATAATAGAAGTAATGTTCTGGAACTTCTCTGAGACTAGGTCAAAAGAAATCCTGCAGCTTTGCTTGGCTCTCTTGGAATATTCTTTCTGGTCCCCAAGTTGCCACATGAGAAGTCAGACTACCTTGGGTCCACTATGTTCAAGAAACCATAAATAGGTGCTTCTAGTTTCACCTAAACCCAGCATTCCAGCCATTCCTACCAAGGTGACAGGCATATCAGAGAAGCAGTTTGGACTCCACAGCCCATTGGTCAGTTAAATATCAGCAAGGGACCACTTTGGATACCTTGTAGAACAGAAAATTCACTTGGCCAAGTCCTGCTCCATTTCCTGACCCACATATCATGAGACAGACACAAAAAAAGTTGTTTTAAAATTATTGGCCCTTTATTTTGAGAAAATGGGTAACTGAAACACTTTGTCAAAGAAATAAGTACCACTAGAAATACTGCTACTTGAATCCATTTTTACTTATCTTGAATCTGTTGATCAACTCAATTTCCCTCCATGCCTGGAGTTAAAAGCCTTCTCAGTGGTTAGCTCTAAGTCATCATATATGCACAGCATCAAAGGCATCAAATGACATTTTCCCCCCACCAAATTCTATTCTCAGTTAGGCTGATTGACTGAGAAATTCGTGAGGTCTGTTTTTGCAAATAGATCTTCTGCATTTTGTTCTCCTATTTCTCTTTTCTCTATGAGCTTTTAAGTTAAATTCTGAACTCTCAGAGCACTGGTAGTTAGAGAAAGAGTGGAATGAAAAAGTAGAAAGTCAATAAAAATGCATTGGTCACATACAAATAAAAACAATTATATTACATGATACAAACAGTTAAGACTCACAGCAAACTAATCAAAAAACAGCTGGTAAGCATGTCCCAAATGGTCAACTTATCCTTTTAAAATTCTGAAAGGTGAGTTTTGTATGAAAAAACATAACTATATATCAAATATTTAGTATTTGTAGCCAGGGGTTAAAAAAAAAAAATCCCGTTTACCTGCAAATCAATATTGTTGTCAATACAACGTTCATTCTTCTCTGCCAAAATCTTCCCATAGTTTTCTGATTTGATAAGATTTTCAACTCTGGTTGTATCTTTCACTTCTGCCTCCAAATCCTTCATTGTTTCAGTTTCATCTTTTATAGTAACAGTATCAGACATCCTCATTAGCAAAGGTTATTTTCGAATTCTACAGGGAGCTTGAAGCCTTAGAAAGAAAGAAAGAAAAGAAATTTTATTTTAGCTTTTTGCTTTGTTTGGAGACAAGGTCTCACTCTGTTGCTTAGGCTGGAGTGCAGTGGCACGATCATGGCTCACTTCAGCCTTGATCTCCCGGGCTTGGGTGATCCTTCTGCCTAAGCCTCTCGAGTAGTTGGGACTACAGGTGCGCACCACCAGGCCTAGCTAATTTTTCTATTTTATTGTAGAGATGGGGTATCACTATGTTGCCCAGGATGGTCTCGAACTCCTGGACTCAAACAGTCCTCTCAAAGTGCTAGGTTTACAGGTGCGAGCCACTGTGCCCCATCCCAGGAAAGAAAAACAATTTTAATTCAGTTGAAACATTTTTACATTCACTACTGAACAACATCGACTGAGTGCTTTCTATGTTCCAGGAATAATGTTGAAAATGAACAGACAGAAGCAAAATTCCTGCTCTCAAGAAGTATACAATTTTGTTGACGATATGTCAAAAAAAAAAAAAAAAAAAACCACAATACAGTGAGAAGAATTATACAAAAGACATGAATAAGGGGCAGTGGCAACCACCTGTAGTCTCAGCTACTTAGGAGGCTGAGGTAGGAGGATCACTAAGCCCAGAAGCTCAAGGCCAGCTTGGGGAGCACAGGAAGACTTGTCTCAAATAAATAAATAGGATATGAGATGATTTTGATGCACACTTTACTTGTGAAAATTCTTAAGAAATGAGTCAGATTATGATGAAAGATAATGATTAGAGAGTTATATATATATATTTAGATAACATTAGAAATATTTTTCTCCTCTTAAAGAGATATTATGAGCACATCTTGTAAAAAAAACTTATCCTGTCATAGCTTTTATCTGGATTCCTAAAATCCAATTTCTTAAATTAACCTTTATTCCCAAAGGAAGTAATAAAAAAAAAGTAACATTCAATATAAAACACACTTATAAATCTGGGTTAACTATGTTCAATGATAGGGAAAAAAAAAAAAAAAGAAAACCACTGAAAACTCTCCTGACTTACGTGATTCAATGCCAAACAACATGTATTATCAGATACTTTAGAATATGGAATCCATAGGCAATCAGTTATATAAGATGACAATATATTTCACGTCACTAATGAGTTTAAAAAAAACACTAGGAACTTCAACACTTCACATTGGATAATAAATAGGAATGTATCAGAGATTAAGCCTAAAGGGAGTTGTCATTTTAAGACGTGAAAAATTTATTAAGAACAGTCGAATTTGGCATAAACAACTTATTTTGAAATACATAAAAAAAATTAAAACAAAAGAATGAATGTATAGCAGAACAGAGAGATACCAGCTATAGCAAGTATATTTTACACATAAAACCAAGGGTTATAAAATTCTTTCAACTTTTTTGAATTTCTGAAAATTTTCATAATAAAATCTTCGGGGGAAAAACACCAGTAGAACTTATTTTCTTTATATCAATTTGAAAAATTAAAGAGCTTATTTCCTGAAAAAATGTTTTGCAATTAAAAATCTAAACAGATTTTAGGAACTGTTGTATACATCTGGAAAGTTAAAAGAAAAAGTCAAAGAGAAAAAGATCCTAAAGTCACAGGTAGATTAAGCTGGATTTTTAAAAATGTCTTCTTTTATTATATCCCATACCAAGTTAACTGGTTCGTTTTGAAAACAATAAAGTTGCAAAGGGGGAAGAAGGTGGGGAAGTTACTTAAAATACTCTGGCTCTGTGACTTTTATACCTAAGGTTTTGGAAGAAAAAAAGGATGTGTTTTTTGAATGACAGGAGACTATTACCTGATGTGTAATATGGATTTGGGATTGTGGTGTCCCACAAAAATGAAATAAAATAACCCAAGGTTCCTTTTCACAGTTGTCAGCCAGGATGTCAATTGTATTGAACCAGTTGTAATCTGGCAGGAGGAGTCCCATGTCCTTGTCACCACTGTAGATTTCTGGACTGGAATAGACTGTCTTGGATCAGATATATCATACTTTTCAGTGGCCTAAAATTAAAACAAAAGAAACCATTTTAATGAAATAGCCAAAGGAAATAGAATACTCCACAGTAATTTAGAAATTAAAAATATTACTGTCTGTGGTTTCATTATTTTCTTGTCCTAAACAAGAGTCAGAACATTTAGTAATAGGGAATTCTGACATACATTAGTTATGTGAACTTGAATAAGTTACTGAGTCCAAGAGAGTTATCAGTAAAAGACAGGAGGAGAGAAAGAAGGGAAACGTTATGTAACGAGAAGCTACAATGTGATCAGTGTTGTAATTGAGATAGCAACTGTAGATAAGGAGGAAAAAAAAAGATCACAATAAGAAACACTTTAACTCCAAGAACTATGATTTTTAGACTTTTCTTCCAGAGCTGTAACTCTGTGGACTTGAGATTTTAAATAATAATCACATTCTAGATTTGTAAAAGTACAAAAGTACAAAAGAACAAAAGGCTTTTGTAAGTCATTTAACATTCAAACAGTAAAACTCACACTGTCTATTAGAAGAAAATGCCTATAAAGGGCAGAATGCCTATTTTTTTTTTTTTTTTTGAGTTGGAGTCTCACTCTGTCGCCCAGACTGGAGTGCAGTGGCCGCTCCCGGCCACCGCAGCCTCGACCTGCTGGGCTCCGGCGATCCTTCCGCCTCAGCCTTCCAGTAGCCGGAATTACAGGTATGCACTACCATGCCCAGCTGATTTTTTGATTTATTGTAGAGATGAGGTCTCGCTGCCCAGGCGGGTCTCGAACCCGTGGGCTCAGGCAATCCACTCACCTCAGCTTCCCAAAGGCGCAGGATTACAGGCTGAATTACCGAGCCCGGCTAGAATGCCTATTTTTAATGATACCTAAAAGATCAATGCCAAAGTTCTCTGTGTCATATTTTAAAGTCAGTTTCATTGTATATTTATTTGATACAAATGAATACCTCATAGCTATAGTTCTTGCATCTTTCTTTGACAGCTTTGTTGTCAATAAACGGAATAGTACAATAACTGAGCATATGGAGGTCTGAATACCAAGAGATCAATTTCCACCACTACATAGTATATCCATGTAAGAAAAATGCCTGTGGGCTGGGTGTGGTGGCTCAAGCCTGTAATCCTAGCACTTTGGGAGGCTGAGGTGAGGAGACTGCCTGAGACCACGGGTTTGAGAACGCCTGGGCACTTTGGCGAGGTCTCATCTCTACAATAAATCAAAAAATTAGCCGAGTATGGTAGCACGCGCCTGTAGTTCCAGCTGCTTGGAAGGCTGAGGTGGAAGGATCTCCTGAGACCAGCAGGTCAACGCTGGGGTGGCTGTGAGCATGCCACTGCGCTCCAGCCTGGGTGACGGAGTGAGACTCCAACTCAAAAAAAAAAAAAAAAAAAAAAAAAAAGAAAAGAAAAATGCCTATGTACCCCCTGAATCAAAAACAAAGATTAAAATAAGGCACAGTCAAGCATGCATCATAGAGAAATTAAAATCTTACACTATCTCTTCAAAAACCATTTTGAAATATAATAATTTAAAACTCTGATATATCTTTATATTAGTTTTCACATCTAATTTGACACTGGGATAATAAATAGAAAAAGGGGTATCATAAACAAATATCAAACTTTGTTTTAACTGACATTGTGTCATCTCACTCTGACCATGGTCCCTCAGCAACTAAATCAAATGAATGGGGTTTTTTAAGTTCTACCAAAAACAAAACAAAAATCCTTCAGATAAATTTTTCCCAATTTTAGGTTTTTTCCCCTCACAAAATGGTAGACACAAGATGGCAGCACTCACTGCCAAATTCTTTATGTGTTCTTCATAAAGTGACTTTAGGATTTAATCATGCATTCCTATAAAAGCAAGGTTTTACTCCATGAAGAAACAAATATGACACTAGATACAACAACAGCTGCAGAGAAGAGTGAGGAAGGGGCACAACTGAAGAGGCAAAAACCTCAGAAGATTCCCTTAGGGTTCCAGTGAACTTTAGAGACCACCTGGTCCAATGTTATAATTCAGCGCCCAAGTTATTAGCTCCCAGAAGTCTGATGACTTGTTAAAAGTCACACAATCAATATGTGTGGCAAAAACTTGCCATATGCCAAATCATTTGACAACAGATTAAATAAATGAGTGATTCAGAATAAAAATGACCAGTTATTGCCCAGGAAGGAGGCAATGGCCTAATAGAGCAAGTGCTCTAGCATTAGACCTAAATTTAAATCTCAGCTTTGCCATTTGTGTCTTTGGTAAATTATGTAATCTCCTGAGTTGCAGTTTTCTGATCTGTGAAGTGGGAAAAAGAATATCTAGCTCATGGGTTTGTTGTGAGGATTAACTAATTTAAATGTAAAGCACTCACCAAAGCCTCTATTACAGAGTAGGCACTTCAAAAAATGTTAGCTCTTTTCCAGTCAGAATCACTCCAGGCTAAGAGCTGGCTGAAGCTGAATTTGCTGTGTCGTGGCTCCCACACCCTGCACAACAGTAGACTAACAGCAGGCCAACCACTGTGCACAGTTCTTTGTATACCTTCAATCTTTTTGTATATATACCTTGCAAGGCTCAATAAAGGAGAATAAACACTAGAATCTGTGTTTATGTATATCGGAGGGAGGGTGTGCATGCATGAGGTGTGTTGTGTGTTTGCATTGGGGCATGGACTCAAGGGGCTCTCATTTTTGAGGTTACTAATTGAACATTAAAAATTCACACAAACTTTGCATTCTTCTCTAAAATATTCAAGTACTTATTTTAAGTAAAATGCTTTTCCTCTCCAAGTCTTCAAGCAAAAGGAATGTTCCAGCTTTAGATACTCACCAAGAAACAAAAACAAAAACCTTTCTATCTGGACATGAAGCCTCCTTATGCTTCTAGGTTTTACCAAAGGTTGTGTGGGATGTACGTGTCAAGTATAGGAAGCCACAGGACACACATGGCACATGTCTCTGCCAAAGCGTTTAGTCAGTTAAATATACCACCCAAACGTAACTAATAGCTGTATAGTAACTAACAGACACTAAGAAACTTAAAAGAATTTGGGAAATTTCTATAGTAGACAGACTAAGCACAAGCATCTCAGTCTCTATTGTTACTCATATTTAAAAATCAAAATTCTCAGAATCTGTCTCAACCTAACAGAGATGGATATATGTGCACAAATTAATTCAACTTTGAAAAAAGTCTTCCAATTGCTAACATATTATTTACTTGAAATGAGTCAGAGATTTGAGTACATGCAGTTTCTCTATTTCCAGGGAGACAATGGAGAAACATCACAAGTGTGTGTGTGTGTTTGTGTATATGTGTGTGTGTGTGTGTGTGTGTGTGTGTGTGTGTGTGTGTGTGTGTATACATATATATAACAAAACCTTCAGTTACATATGCACAAAAATGAAGACACCTACCTGGAACCATAACCAAAGGGAATTACAGGTAAAATTAAAGATCATAACCTTAAAAAAGTAAAACTATGAATGAATTAGGATAGGAAGTTTTTGTAATCATTGGGTGGGAAAGTCCTTCCCAAGCATGACAGAAATCTAGAAGCCATCAAAGGCAAATGGCTATAAAGCTTACAACAAAGTTTTAAAATTCCTGTGTGAAAACATAGATTAAAATGCAAATGATATAAATGAACTATTTCTAATGCAAAAGGGTCAAAATATTTTTAAAAGTTCTTATAAATCAAAGGGTTAAAAAAAGAGGAATAGGGAAATGACAGGAACAGGAAAATTACAAAAAAACACAAGTAACTACTACCAAAAAATGAATACTAATGTACAGCTTACCATGTGCCCAGCCCTGTTCTAATGCCTTTCATAATGAATTCATTTAAAGCTCACAACAAGTCCAAGAAATATGTACTATTATTACCCCTGTCTTACAACAGATTAGGAAAGTAAGGCACATAGAAATTAAGTAATTTGTCCAAGGTCATCCAGCTAGTAAGTGTGGGAACCCAGGTTTTGAATGGGAGTGACCTAGTGCTCCATTCCAGGCTCTTACCTGCAATGCTGTATCATTATTCAAATGTGCCATGAAGAGGAGCAATTTGTTTTTATGAAGCATCTTTACTTCAAGAGTAATTACGACATGTGGAAAATCCTTCATAATGGATTTAAGATGGAAAGTCAATTTATACTTTTCACATGAATAGGAGCTATGTATTGTATTTTTTGCAGAGGAAGAGAGTACTATTAACTTTGTATTAATGGTTAATAAGACTAATCACAACTGTATCAGAACTGCCAGGAATTACGTAACCATTCAGTTTCTCTCAATCTCCCTTACTCATGATGATGCCTAACAACTATGTAAATCTGAATGGCAATGAGGATTCAGAGTTTGTGGTTAAGGAACAATGTAAACCATTAGAAATAACTGTAAGCCAGTAGCTTACAAATGATAAATATGCATAGTTAAGTATCTTTCTCAATGTAATAAAGCATGGTAATATCAGAACCAACATTTGCAAAGGCAAACTAAAATATATGCAGTCTAAAGAGAAGTAGTTTCCCCAGTAAAAATTTCAGATAGAATTTTCAGTAACAAAAATGCAATATTGATACTAATAATTCAAATCACTTTATTATGCCTGGGGCCTAATTTTTGGTTCCATTAGCACCAGAAAAAAAATTAGGTAGCCAAAAAAAAAATTCTAATTTTATATAATGAAAACCAGTTTACATTATTTAGGTCAACAAAAAAAATTTATTTGTGGGAAATAAATCTGGCTACCACAGGTAAAAAAGTCTTTTAATCTAATTCTTCACAAAAATACTGAGACGAAAAAAGGTTACACTATTGAAGTTATCTAAATAGAATTTGGGAAAAAAAAAATAAATAGAATTTGGCAAAGTACAGTGTTGTTGTTCCCTCATTACTACCTACCTATCCAATGCCGTTTCATTAGGTGGAAAAAGATGTTATGTTTCTTCCCTTAGAGACAGAAATATAACCAGGTGGGCACATTTCTTAAGAAAATTAAATGCACATAAGTAACACAT